GCTTGGTGCAAACACCGATAACAGCAGCATTTAAACAACCTTTATCAGGTAATTCAGATCGGTCCAAAGCAATAACACAAGCTGTAGGAGTTTTTTAAGCTCTGGATTTATGTCTGAATGTTGTTGATGTGCGGCTTTAAAGTTATTGAGCTACGACATCACGCCAACACTTGAGCCAAAAAGTTGGCCTGAGGGGGGCTCCAGCTCCCCTGCGAAGATGGATGGCTGCTCCCATGAGAAACATAAACTGGATCCAGAACCAACAGGCAGAAACAGATAATTCGCAGCAAATAGCAGAGTGAGTTACCAGAAAGCGAGTTGTCAAAAAAATCCTCCTGAAATGAAAAGCATGGTCCTAGCTCATTTCAGGTCAGCAGGGGACAACAAAGTGATCTGGAATAAAAAACCTTCAGCTGACCAGCTTTGAACCGGTGGCCCCGCATGGATCCAATTTCTCAGGTGAGTTAGATGGAAGACCAGCAGAACTCCAATGCAAAACTCTGGGCTTCCCTTGAGCAGCTACTCCTCGGCACTTCACAGCATGAGAGATTTCCTCCAGTCGAACAAAGATGAGAACTGACCGGAGAAGCTGGAGCCGTCCATGGCTCGGTTCTGGTTCTGCTCCGGTTCTGTCAGGCTTCTCCATGGCCAAAAGCAAATCCCACAAGGGTGGACGATCTTTCAATGAAAGATAAAGGGCTGTCCGCTGAGACTGAGACTGGCTCTGTTCGGGGCGAATTCCCCCACAGCTTGACTCGGTCCGGTTCTGGTCCTGTTCGGGAACATGGGGACACTACACCCACGACCAACTGCAAACACTCAACGAGGAGCCAGTCCAACAGAATGTCGTCAAAATACCACACAGCAATCCTGATTGGAACCAAGCAGAACCACAAAGTTCCGGATGAAAAAGTACGGTTGGAGACCAGAGAGAAAAAAACCCACCGGACCTTCGTAAAACGACTTCCTGCTCAAGGGGCCACCTGGCTACACTCAAAATGACCGGTGAGGAGGGAACGGCCAATACTGGACCAAAATAATTTTTTGGACGGTTGCGTCTGGCTCTCTTGAGTCACTGAACACCGAGTTCGGTTGGAGGAAGGACCAACTTTAGTCCGACTCGAAAAACAAGTCAGTTTGATGTTAAGACTGCAGAGAAGCTGGGGGAGCTGCAATCCATCAGCTTACTGGATGTGTGTGTGATATCTTATACCACTCCAATCCATGGCATAAATTTCTGTTTTAATCTCTTTCTCAGACTTGGACTCTCTGACTATATCTCCCATCTTTCTGGCCCCTGCTTACATCCCCCAGCTGAGACGCTACAAACTAACACAAAGAAAAGTCAGGGGATGGGTGAGAATCAGTGACTCTATACTGAAGGACTGTTTTACATGTACAGACTGGAAGGTCTTCAGATAATCTGTTGTAAAGGAGGGGGAGCTAGACCTACAGGAATACACATCCTCGGTCCTGGGATACATCAGCAAGTGTGTTGAATATGTCAACACCACAAGGACTGTGAAGAGCTACCCGAACCAGAAACCCCGGCTGAATACAGAGGTCCGCACCCTGCTGGAAGCCAGGGACACTGCCTTTATGTCTGGCAACTCACAAGAGCTAAGAATGACAAGGAAAGAGATTGTTGCTGGTATTAAAAGGGTCAAAGCCACAAATGCACAGAGGATCCAGGGTCAATTCACCTCCCAAGACCCACTGAGCATGTGGAGGGGCATTAAGTGTATAACAGATTATAAAGGCAGGGGTGCACAATGCCCTAGGGACTTATCACTGCCTTATGCCCTCAACAAGTTCTATGCACGCTTTGAAGACCCAAACAGACCACCCAGCACCAGACTCACCTCACCACCAGAAGACGAGTTTCTCAGCGTGACCTCAGCTGAAGTAAGGAGTACCTTCAGAAGGATTAATCCTCACAAAGCAACTGGTCCAGACAACATCCTGGGGAAGGTGCTGACTGGGCCGATCAGCTCTGTGAAGTGCTGGCCGACATCTTTAACTCCTCCCTCGCCCTGGCAACAGTTCCCACCTTCCTGAAGACAGCCACCATCATCCTAGTCCCAAAGAGCTCTACAGTAACTGGCCTGAATGACTAGCATCCAGTAAGCCTCACCCCAATAGTCGCTAAATGCTTCGAAAGACTGGTCATGACCCACATCAAAACATGAAAACAACCATCTACATCAGCGAGGACCCTCACCAGTACGCATACCACAAGAATCGATCAACAGAGGACACCATCTCCTCTGTGGTCCACACTGCTCTCACCCACATGGAGATGAAGGACTCCTACATCCTATGCTCTATGTGGACTTCACATCTCCTTCAACATCATGATTCCCTAGACCCTGATGGACAAACTCCTCACATTAGGACTAAGCCCCTCCATTTGCAACTGGGTCCTGGACTACTTAACAAACAGACCACAGTTTGCAACAATCCACTATTTCTCCTCCACCATAACCCTCAGAACTGGCTCTCCCCAAGGATGTGTGTTGAGCCCCCTCCTGTTCACTCTGCTCATGTATGGCTGTACACCTACCCATCCAGGCTGTAATATTGTAAAGTTTGTAGATGATACAGTGGTTGTTGGATGCATCACAAACAACAATGAGTCCAGCTACAGGCAGGAAGTGGAACACCTGGAGAGCTGGTGCAGGAAGAACAACATTCACATCAATGTAAAGAAGACCAAGGGGATGGTTGTGGACTTCAGACGGAACAAACACACCTACCCCCCAAACATAGGAGGATCTGCGGTGGAAGTGGTCTCCAGCTACAAGTACTTGGGTGTGCAGCAGAATAACAAACCTCAGCTGGGGCAACAACACTACCAGACTGATCAAGAAGGCACATCAGAAACTCTACTTCCTTAGGCGGCTGAGGCGAGCTGGTCTGGGAAGCTGAGTCCTCACTTCTTTCTACAGGTGTGCAGTGGAGAGCATCCTGTGCTGAAGCATCAATGTGTGGCATGGAGGCTGCAAAGCTGCTGCAGAAGGAAAAGATTTGCACAGTTTTGAAGGCTGCACAGAAGACTGTCGGAGTCAGCCTCCCCACCAACACAGACATCTACACCTCCAGATGCAGGAAAAGCACCACCTACATCATGAAGGACCCCACTCACCCAGCACACACACTTTGCCCTGCTCCCCTCAGGCAGGAAGTTGAGGAGCATTAAGTGTATAACCACTAGACTGAGGAACAGCTTCTACCCTGAAGCTGTCAAGACTCATGAATCCCTAATCAGGATTATCACTGTGAAAAAAAAAAATCACCGTGTAGGGAGAGAGATATAAACAAAAAAGGTTAAATCGTGTCATCTGGACCAGTTTATGACTTTTGGTCTGGGCACCCTTTAACAGGTATTTACACCAACGTAACCTGGACCGACCTCACCTCAAACACACATAAATACATGAGTTCTTCTAGTGAACTTAAGTCCTCTCTCTTGAAGAAAGACCAAGAATCCGGTGATTTAAATACACAGTTCTATTACGTTTATTTTTAGTTTGAATTATGACAAAGAAGATTATGGCAAATATGGAATATGAATGAACAACAACAACCAATAGTATTATTTTAGAAAGCAAATGACGTAAATCTGGAGACTTTGAGAAGGAGTTCTAATTCAATTTTGACCAAGGTTCTTAGCTCTCAACGTTAAAATTTAAGTAAGTTTATCTCAGATTTGTGAATTTATTATCTAAACAAACTCAGTTGGCACTGTGTCTCTCATCAGTAGGACAACGTCCATTACTCATTACCACAGCAGACGCATGAAGGAAGCCGGTGGACCGCTGTCCCAAGAAGGATGTCATTTCTCAGGGATGCAGTCCTTTCAGCGCATACCTTTCGCTCCAGGGTGTTTGAGGTTTTAGGACTTTTGGGTTGGCTCAGAGCCAACTCTCTACCAAGACAACTTCTTCATCATGGCTGCTGTTCAGACAGTCTCTTTTCAGCTGCCGCTTGACGACCTGCTGTTCAGCTGCTCTTCCAAAGCCAACTTTCCTCCTCGGCTGTCATCGCTCAACTCCTTTAGTGTCCCGTTGTCCTGACACCACAGAAGACTTTCCCACTTAACTTTTAACCAGTCAGAGGGCTTCTCACAGTGGGTATATCCCAACTGTATAATTAATGTAATTATAATCTCCCTTCTCAGAGTTCCAGAGAAGATAACACACTGACCCTTTGTTAGAAAGGGTGATACTTTGTTTTACATTTCTTTCAGCACAATGCATGTCTTGATCTTAGCGAAATACTGTAAAAACATTGGTGTGTCTTTGAGTCTTTGTTCAACTGAGGTTACTTCCTCCATTACCATAGGAACTTCAGTTTCTGTTGATAAGGCCAAGTGAAGCTCTTTGATCAAGATCTTCTTTGGTAGGCAAAAAGGCTGGTGAGTCAGAATAGAAGGTTACTTAACACAGAAGGGGGTCCAGAATCATACAACATCTCAGGGTGGTCCAAGCTGTAGATTTTAACACACACAGAGAAAGGATAAAGAAACTACCTGTGTCATAACAGGAAGGGAGGGGTAGTAGAGACGTGGTGCCTCTGAGGACATTTGTCTTTGTGGACGATGGATGGATGCTACAACTGTAATGCCACTTGATTGTCGATATGTGCTGCTGACTATCCATGATGCTGATCTTATGCTGCTGATTTATTTATTGCTGCTGTGTTCATTCGTACTCACCTGCTCACAAAAACTCATGTTCAAGCTGCTGTTGTTCAGCGTATTGTTTTTGTACTACTAGTGCTTAGTGTATTCTTAGTTTAGCATATTTCTTAGTTCATATCTTAGATCTTATTATTGTTTTTCTTTTACATTTTATACTTTTGTTGGATGTAACTGGGACCCTGTGTACACAGTTTTGTTCCACCACATGTACCACATATGATGCGAATGGCAATAAAGAAACCTTGACCTTTCTGGTTTTGCGTCATGGTGCAAGCAGATGGGCTTATTTTTGTCTCACCTGGTCAAAGTAGTAGTCAGAGAGCTGGAGGGAGTTGTGTGTGTCGTGATGATGTCCTGGCAAGCACTTGTGTCTCTGCGGAAGGGGCGAGGACTCGAGCGGCTGCAGAGAACCGTCCAACTTCTGAGAGGAGTTGGAGGAGCTGTCTGTGGCATTCTGAGTGGACAAACAAACACAGGATGCAAGCTGAAGAGCTCATCCTTTAAAAAAAAAAAATTCAATATGACAAACAAACAGCTGGCACGAGAGTTCACCATGACTGGACAAACAAAAACAGGAAAGGTCAACGCTGTGCTGATTGAAAAACCATGAAGCATGCGAGATGTTTTTAGAGCTTGTAAAGTAAACTTTCAGTAACAACATTAATACCATGAAGCATCAGCCACACACCTTAAAGCCAACGAGCTGCATGTGAGTGGAAATAAACATGATATTTAATAAAACTACTAGGAATTATCTTTAGAACACCCTAACTCAGTGGTTCCCAACCTGGGGGGCCCGGTCCCCATTGGGGTAGAGAGCACAGGAGGGGTCACATAATTTGTCTGCTCAGAGGTTAGAGGTTGTAAAAATATCCATTTATTGTCTGTGTCACAACTTTAGAAAATATGCTTTTATTTTTAATTATAATGTTTGAATTTTTACCAAATCCCGATTAACACTGAAGAACCTTCATTTTGGTTATGTTTTAAGAGGTTTCTTTATTGTATTATGTTCAAAACTACAATCTGTACTGTCACTTTAAGTTTTAAGAGAGCACTTTATTAGGACATGCTGCTCTCAGCTGGTGCTGCCTGAGTGAGAAGAGGCTTTGATGTGGTTTTACTAATCATAGCACAAAGAAAACTAAATTAAAATGTATAATATAAAATTGTGTTAATCTACTTTTTGAGGAGGAGGCAGGTCCGACTGTCCGGTTATTAAAAAAAGTTGAATTAAGCTCAGATGGACAACCCAACACCGGCTGCGCACGTCCGCTGAACCACCAGTTAGAAATGGACTTGCGACCTGTCCAGGGTGTCCCCTGCCTCTCGCACAGTGATGGCTGGACATGGGCACCAGTGACTCCTGACCCGAAAAGGAAGAAGCGAGTGAGGATGGATGGATGGACGGATTTATTTATTTATTTATTTGCTAATCGCCGGCCGCGCACGTCTCCTTGGCTGTGAAGATGAACTTTGTGACCTTCAAGTTGATTCTGTATCCAAAAAATATTTCCAAGAAAATGGATACAAAAAGTTTTGGACTGCCAAAGGATAAATCCTTGCACCTAGACTGGCCAAACACACTGATGAGGGTTATTCTTCCATTCAGCACTACTTACCTGTCTGAGGCAGCCTTCAGCGCTCTTATGCCAATAAAAACAAAAGCTGCAACAGACTTGATGTCCATTAGACTTTAGGTTGGCTGTGACAAACACCACCTGACATCAAACCCTGGTCAGAAACATGCAAGCCCAGGGTGGCCATTAGTTCAAGAATGAACAGACTGACAGACTCAGACACAGTGTACTGGTCATTTGAAGTTATTGCTGGGTTTCTGTTTTAATAATATGCACAGTGTATAAACACACACTCATACATTTTAGATATAGATACATAGATGTATCTTTTGTTTGTACACAAACTTTGCTGTTTTAATTTTATTTTCCAGCCTGCTGTGCCATCTGTAATTATTATTTTTTTGTCATTAAAGTTGTTTTAGGGTGGCAGGAATAAACTTTGGTCTTGGTCTTACTAGGGCTAGCCATTACCTCATTATTCAAATCAGAATTAAATATTTTTCCAAACCGAGATGTCTCAAAAAGCTATCTATCACAGGTAAGACATATATTAAATTTACAAACAAATCCAATTCAAGTCAATATAACTTTCAAGTAAAAAGCTTTCTGCCCTTTGAACTCTTTTTTTCTGTTGTGTTATACATACTTATGTGTGTGTGTATATGTATGTATATCTATATGTGTATGTATGTCCATTCGGACCAGAACCTCCCGCCATAAGAACAGTTTCTTCCCCTCTGCTGTTGGACTCCTGAACACTCATAATGCTACCTCATAATGTCTGCTTTGGTCACATTACATCTGTATTATAACTGAATACTCCATCTGTACTGTTTTCTAAGCTTTTTTATTGTTTTCTATTGTATGGGTGTACATATGGTTATGTTATGGTTTTAATTTTACTTTATTTGTGGGTGTACACAGGCTTATGTCTTATGTAATGTTCTCATTTTTACTTAATTTTTACTTTATTTTACTTTACTACTATTCGCACCTTATGTCGAAGCAAATTCCTAGTTTGTGAACCTCGTTCATTGACATGGCGATAATAAACTGATTCTGATGTGTAGATACATATATGTATGTATGCATGTATGTATGTATATACACATTAGTCTTTGTTAGAGCTGTGTGTACATGTCCAGAGTTTAATATCTTGACAAAACTACAATTTATATATTTTTAAGACTTTTTAAGATTATGCTGTTGTTAGTTTTTAAAGAAAAGTTATGCGAGTAATTCTCAAAACAGTGTTCTTGTATTTATTTCTGTTGGACAACTAACAGTTTATTCCTTTTACAAATAAAAGTTTGTAACTATTTACTTTTTTCTTTTATTTACTTTAGTCTACATTTACTTATATTACTGACATAATATTACTTATAATATTTACTTTATTATTTTATCACTTTGATAGAGATTAATCTTAATGAGTCTTTTGGGAGAGGGGAGTAGCGAGGGATTGGGGGGTCTCAGATTGGCTAGGAAGTAAAGCCCCCAGTATACTCCCGCTTAAGTCCATCCGCATAAAATAAAACTGTAGTACAGTATTTTGGAAATACGACAAAATGCGCGGAAGATGAAAGTGAAAGCAGCAGAGCAGTGAGCTCTGCAACAAACTTCCAGGCTTCCCAAACGTTGCGAAGATTTCCCTCTCCATCTCCTGCTATATCACAAAGGATTTACGAGCAAACAACTCCACCATTGAAACAAAGAATAACGTGGGAGAAGCTGATGTTACCAGCTGCAGCTCAAAGGTAACGTTTTTTTCTCATATCAGACCAAAATTTATACAGACAATGCGGCTGAGATGAGCTGGTCTGAGAAGCTCTGTCCTCACCTCCTTCTACAGGTGTGCAATGGAGAGCATCCTGTGCTCCAGCATCAACGTGTGGCATGGAGGCTGCACAGCTGCAGAAAGAAAAGCTTTGCAGAGAGTGGTGAAGGCTGCACAGAAGATGTTGGAGTCAGTCTCCCCACCATCACAGACATCTACACCTCCAGATGCAGGAAGAGGGCCACCTGCATCATGAAGACCCCACTCACCCAGCACACACACTTTTTACCCCGCTCCCCCCAGGAAGGAAGTTGAGGAGCATTAAGTGTAGAACCACTAGACTGAGGAACAGCTTCTACCCTGAGGCTGTTAGACTCGTGAATCTCTAACCAGAACAATCACTGTGAAGAATCACATCATGTTGCTGCTGATCTGTTTTATGTTGATGTGTTCATGCGTGCTCATCTGCTCACACAGACTCATGTTCATGTTCGTTCTGCTGTTCGACGTAATGTTTTTATGCTATTAGTGCTTAGTGTATTTTTAGTTTATGTTTTTCTTAATTCATATCTTAGATGTTATTACTGTTTTTCTTTTACATTTTTATTGTTGGATGTGACTGGGATGCTGTGTACATAATTTCGTTCCACCACATGTGCCACATGAGGTGCGAATGACAATAAAGAATCTCTGATTAAATGGACTGTACTTATATAGTGCCTTTCTATCTTATCTAGACACTCAACAGCTTTACACTACAATCTATGTCCTCATTTATCCATTCATACAGCACTAGATCTACTAATAGATCTCTACAAAGCTAATTGAACAAATCATTCTAAAGAGACTAATCAGTGTTTTATCACATTCATACACTGATGGGACACACATCAGAGACAATGAGGGGTTCAGTGTCTTGCCCTGAGACATTTCATCACGTGACTGCTGGTGGATTCGAACCCCCAACTCTTGCATTGGAGGACGACTGCTCTAACCACTCAGCCACAGCCGCCTGTTTGTACAACAAACTTAATGTAACTTGTCTTTTTAACAGGTTGAAGAGAGGCCAGATGAGACACAATGCCTGGAGCCAGTTCTAAATGATAAAATTTAGATGGTTTATAAATTACAGTTCAGAAGAATTTTTGTGCAATATTTGAGCATGGACTTTTTTTGGTTTTGAACCAGTTTGACATGACTGTGATGACGAGGAAGAGGACTGGCATCGGAGGAGGGGGCGTGCCAAAGACACCATCTTAGCACCAACATAACTGGTTTGTTACACTTTGGAGTAAGCTGTTTGGGAGAAGAATCAGTTTTGTGTTGTGTGTCTCCTTGACTGATGAAGCCTTCTAGATGGAAGGGGAAATGTTTCACCAAAAAAAGAAACTGTCCAGATGACCTGACTGAAAAATGTTGGATTGTGTACCAGGATTATTGAGCATGGACTTTTTTTGGTTGTGAAACCTGTGTATTTCATATTAGGTTAAGTTTTAAAAATACAGCAAATGTTAGTGAAATATGGTTTAAAAAAATTGTGAAGTCTGTATTTTATGTTGAGTTAAAGCAGTGCTTCTCAAATTTTTCTCAGTTACGCCCCCCCTAGGAGGAAGTAAACATTTTGTGCCCTCCCAACTCTGTGGCGCGCTCACAAGAACCTGACAAGTTGTTTAATGACAAAATATATTTTGTTAGCGAAGAATAGAATCCTAACATTTGTTAAACATTTGTTTTTATAACTAATTTTAAAAAACATTTTGCTTTGACAATCGATAAAACTAAAACATTTTGTCAACGTGAAAGAGGAAAGAGGGGGCAGGTGTCGCTCTCGCTTTGACTTTATACTCTTTGTTGCTGCGTGCTGTGGGTGAAATGTGTCCAGAGCGGAGGACTTGTTAGCAAAGAATAGAGTCCTAACATTTAGTAAACATTACTTCTGTATTTAAAAAAAGATAAAAATCGTGCTTTGACTAACTAAAAAAAATTGTTAAAGTCAAAGAGGAAGAGGGGCAGGTAATGCTCTCGCTTTGACTTTATTCTCTGTCTCATGCGTGCTGTGGGTGACAAGCGTCCAGAGCGTCACCAGCTGAGGAGGTG